TACGCCCCCCCCCCAAATGGAGATTTTCTCGGAAACGGCTGTAAGGATTTTTATTCCATTTCCGTTTATGGAGAACACTGCCCTCACTTATGCTGAATATATGATATCTTCAAACAAGTAAAAGTGACAGTAAGTACATATATTCCAGGAATTCAATCTGTTTGAAACTTTTGCGTGGTTCGATATTGATTGAATATTTTATTGCCTTTTCGAAATATCTGAACTTTCCCTCATTTTCCAAACAGTCATTCGCTGATTTTCTTTTGTGATGTTGCCTTGCATTATGGAGACGAGACGTGAATATAGAGCTATTTGTTTTCTCTGCACTTACATTCAAGGCAACTTACTTACTAGCGTAATATTACATCGCTGTTAAAAAATAACTGCTACTTCTATATATACCTACACAGCCAGTGAACAAGGAAGGCTAATGGATGGGTCCATTACAGTATATTAAGAGACCTCCCATCATAACAAATGTTTACTACTACATTAATTAGCCCGTATAAATTGCTATAATTTCCTCCATACTTTCATAAAATTACAGCAATTTCTTCCTCTGTCTTCTAATGAAGTTCTCAGTAGACATTTCCTTGTCTGATGAAACTCACTGATGCCTCTCAATTAGCACGGAATAGTATAGTTTAGCGGCAACAAAATTATTTTTTTCTTTCTCATTTTTCCTTTAAACATAGTTCAGAGCTTTTTTCCCTGTAGACTTTACTTGCCTCGCCACATCACGAACCGTGCCAGGCGTGATGCGTCGGAAAATGACGAAGGCGGTGGCTGTTCTAGAACAAAATGCAATTCGTCACGGAGAATAATTACCATACTTAAACAGGGACGAGTCAAGAGAGAAAAAGAGAGATAACTGAGAGAGAGTCGCAAGATCGATCTATGATGGAAACCGGGAAATATTGTAAAAAAAAAAAAGAAGGACATCTGAACTAAACTGGAGGTACGTTCAAAAGTAAGAATAATTAATTTTAAAATCCTTTTCTCTTCGATTCGAATTTCAGCTGGATAAAAACTTCACTCTTACTATATTATTCAACTCAGAAGGTCAAATGGGACCATTTATTTAAGGTAGGCCCATAGTACGGGATATTCTTGAGTAATTGCAGGTTATTCATTTGATCAACAAACTGCGAATTTCCTGGAACATGATGGATCTTTGCTACCATTCAGTTCAGAACTTTTGTCTTCTAGTCTACTGTCTAATAACGCAAAATTTAACATGTGCAAAACTATGATTTTGCCTGTAGTCTTTTATTGGTATGAAACTTTGTCTCTAAAGTTAAGGGAACGTGACTGAGGGTGTTTGAGAACAGGGTGGTGAGCAAAATATTTGGACCCAAAGAGGGAGAAAATGTAAGGAGGCTGGAGAAGAATGTAGAAAGGAGAGCCTCACAAAATAGAGCCTTCACTAGATATAAGTGGAATAATCAAGTCAAGGTGGATGAGTTGCGCAAGGCATGTAGTATGCATGGGAGAGAAGTTGAATGTACTCGTATATAGGGTTTCAATTGGAAAAGCAGAAGAAACTACTAGGAAACCTAGACACATAACGTTGTCACGTGATTGAGTATAAGCAGGGTCTGGATTGGTAATTCGACTTATTGCACACTTCACCACACGACTCGTTACTACATTTTACAGTGCACTATTACACACTAGTGCTCTCAGTCTGAGGTGTCTTCACCAGTCGTTGCTTGGTAACGGCTTCCAACGGAGGACGTTCCCCTTACTCTGGTTTCCCGAACTATTTCTGTGCCTCAGCTACCAGCTTCTAACAGCAAGAGCTAACAATGACTGAAATGCAGTTCCCTAACTGAACAACCAAATCTTCACTTCCCTGCACTGCACTCTCACTAATTGTCCTGCCTATAACATCTTGACATAGAACGTACAGAAGACACCGTTCCTCACTGTTGCAGTTCAATTGTCATCGAAACGTGCTTATTTGCGAAGCCGTTACTCAGTAACGGCCGTTGTATATTTGCTTATCTTGTGGTCGTTGCTCAAAAACGGGTCTATGTGACCCAATACACTTGCTACGCACGTGAAAGGAATGGCGCATTTGAACATGTCTCATGTTACTTGTATTACATTTGCTTTTGTACGGCAAATTTACTACAAGAAAGTTCGTCTGGTTTCTTTGTATAAGAGAAAAGTTTTGTTATTCTGCTTCTGTCACTGTATTGGAAATGACAGTAAGAAATAAACAGAAAGTTCATAATGCTAAGGTTATATTAAATTTGGAGATTTCGTCTTTTCAGTTTCACACACTTTGTAAAAATGTGAAACATGTCTCTCTTCCTAAGAAGAATATGCAAAGTGAAAGTGTTTCAAAATAGAGAGGAGTTAACAGAAGAAGTTACGGTATGAAAAGCCCCACAGTTTTCGTTCGTAACAAATAATTAACAGAAATATAAAATCGAGGACAAGATGAGCGAGACATGCATAAAAAACGCGGTTAAATGACAGATGTATTCAAAGGTTTAGGCCGAAATCTTGAACGGGGAAAACCCTAGTTACGAGAATTAACAAATTTAAGCGACCATTACAGATCTAAACATTCAGTATAAACTTCGTTACGGGTTCTCGACGGCAGTGAATATTAAATATACTGTTTTCTTGGAAGTAGAAGATCTACTCAGAATATGAAGAAAAAATGTCCTCCTAAAGATTGGCACCTGCCTATGTAACTGCCCACTATCATATCCTAGAAGTCTTTAATATTCACTGCAACTTCCCGGAAGATGGTAATTTTAATTGGAATTTTATTTATTTTGTAAATTCATTCTTGGGACNCAACAGCAGTGACGCGGCGGGTGAGTCAGCGTTCCCCTCCCCCTCCTCCGCACGGTAACGTAACGGTGACGCAACAGGATTGCGAGAGACGACGGTGGTAACAGCGGTTACTACCGCTAGCGTTACTAGCAACACAGCGCCAGGCAACAAGGCTGTTATTACGTAAAATTGCTGCTGGTCTTCGCCAGCACAGTCATTCCTGGTATCGGGCGACGTCGGGATCCAAGATTGTATTTTTACTCATTACAAGAAACCTATTTGTTTTTAAATGGGGCCTCCTCTTCTTCTAGGGCGAGGCCTGACTAATATTACTCGCAGCTTGTGCAGAGAGCAACGTGTGTTCTGTACTTCAGTGCGCCGAGGCAGAATATACTGCAAAGTAACACTTAATGTCATACGTAACTGAAGGAGGGTCCCAGTAAACAGATTTATTGCCGGGAGCAAGACGGATAACACATGTGCACATCACATCAGAACTCTACCAAATGTCTCACATGATTCATGTTTAACCATCAGAATATGAAGCTACGAGGTAAGTCATGGGTTTACTTACGACACGGTTTTTCTTATATATTTCTACACGTATAACTTAAGATTCTCACAACATTGGTTATGTAGAGTAATATATTCTGGGTTATAACGCATGATAGTCAGGTGAAAGTCAGCGGACGTTTCGGAGGGACATATCGCATCCATCTTCAAGGTACAATAAGCCGAGCAAGGTACCAGCAAGGTACTTTGACGCCGGTATCTTTCTCGGCTTATTCGACCCTGAAGATGGAGGCGATATGTCCCTCCGAAACGTCGGCTGACTTTCAACGGGCTACACGGTGTTATATCACACTTCTATAAGATTAGAGAAAGATGAAGATCACAGATTAACGTTTACTAGTATAACGCCCGTTGATATTTCAACGGAATATTGTTAAAGTTTCTCAATTTATTGAGTTTAGGCATGAAAATTCATTGTAAAATGAATTATCATGCCTAAACTCAATAAATTGAGAAACTTAGCAAATAAAGCTACATTTATGTAAAAAAAAAAAAAGGTAAAGCTATCCCTTTAACAGGCCGTGAAGACCCATAGAGTTGGGCATAGTGCCTCAAACAATTACGCTACCGCGTGCCCCCGCTAAATTAATGTTTTTTTAGTTCGCTTTGAAGGGGTAGGGTCCAACTGGGTCTACTCGGCACGGCGGCCACTGATTGACCTATTGTAGCCTACCCCGGGTGATTATGATGATGGAGAATTTGGTGGAATGAAGATTGGCAGGGGAAACCGAAGTACTCGGAGATAACCTACCCCAGCGTCACTTTGTCCACTACAAATCCCACTTGACCAGACCCGGGATCGAACCGCTTCGGTGGGAAGCCAGCGACTAACCGCTTGAGCTATGGTGCGGCCTTACATTCATGTTTACGAAACTAAACCAGTAAAAGATATAACAGTGCTAGGTAAAATGCAGCTATCTGCAATGAAAATCTTCATAACATGAGTAACATTTTCAAAGTGTATGCTCTATTAATCTTTTCGTTACTCTTTCTCTCTTCACTGAATTAGCGTATCAATTATTACTCAAATCATAGCTTGCCAAGGCGATCATTTCTCTTATCCCCCATTTTATCTAAGATACTCTTTAGTTTATGTATCTGAAGTCTAAGTTTAATTTATAAAGGTTCAGTATCTTTCCCTTGTAAATTAAATACTTTTAGAAAGAGGGTTCTTTCTTCTTTTTTTCTTTTCCTTGGCACTACAGCCCCAGTGGGCCTAGGCCTACCTCCATGAACTTAGGAAGAGGGTTAGGGAAGTATTTACAAGTAAAGAGGCCTTAGGCGGGGTTTGGATGGAAACAATTAAAGTAATGTGAAATGTCCTTGTTCGTGTGCAGTGAAACGAACGCAATCACATGTCCTTTCATAACTTTATATGTCTGGATTTGCACTGTGTGTACGTTGTTGATTATATGTAGTTTGTTTTGTACTTTTCCCTTTATGTATAGTCTTTGCTTGTCTGTATGTGTGCAATATCTACTGCCACCAGGTGAACACACAATTGCAGTAAAATAATTATAATAATTCAATTCAATTAATGTTTTTTTACGTGTAAACTTAACAGCACGGAGGCATAATAGTAATATTAATAATAATTTTCTCTACATCTCCCGGCTAGGGAGACAGGCTCTCACCTGAGCGGCCACCATGCCTTCTCGAAGCCTCAGCAGATCGGTGTGAGACCAAGAGCTCCGTGACCAGGGAGACATTTCTCGTAGGTCTTCTGCGAACCGGAAGTTAACTAGTTGATTCTTTAGGAATTTCCGGATATTCCAGGGAAGATCGTTGTGTCTGGAAGAAAAAGAGAAGAGCGTTTCGTTAATGGGTCTACTTCTCTGTTGGCTATATCTGTTTGCAATGTAGCATGCGTTACAATTAAATTAAAATTGTTCTGTGGCATTCCACATGCTCAGTAAGAGATTATGCATATTGGAGACTTGTGGTTCTAACGGTGGTGTTTTAAGCTTACGGGACTCTGGGATTTTGAAGCTTTGTAGCCGTGCGCCTGTTCTTTGGCGAAACCTTCTGTCTCCATCTACTCCCTTACAGATACAGACAGGAGATCTTTTAGAAATGTTAGGATCTGTCTACCAACACTTTCAATTCCTTATCTTTGCTAACAAGAAGCTACCAACGTTTAGCCATGGCTAATGATTTTTCTGGTGTTACAGAAGACCGGAAATTTGTTGGCCAGTTCGGCGACTATCAGCTTCTGAAAAAGAAGTAACGTCTCGGTTGCGTTAAGAAGTTTGCACACAGCGGGCCACTCGTTACAAACAACTGCTTCATATTAACACCGCAGTTTCACGTGTTACGTGTAATCTGATACATGGGTAGCAATGTTTCGGAGGAATGTAATGTGGTCATCATCAGGTGTACTTATAGGCCGAATACGGAAGTAGCATGTTATGTTATGACACGGTGTCAAAACCCAGGAGTTCACAATAGGATTCCTCGCAACAGTTAAAACCGCAGATTCCGTACATCTTCAGATGGCTGTGTAAATCTTGGATAGAGTAGCCTAACTATAGTATAGTGTAGGAGGTGAACTGCAGATGCGTGGTGGATCCGTATGTGTAAGTAACGATAACAAGCCTTATCAGGACGTCAACGCTTGGCACACCAACTTCTGTGTCTGGCTTATCTCAGTATACAACCCTGACGAAACGTAATCCCTTCACACGCTGAACTCACAGTTGCATGGTTGAGAAGGAAGAAAGAAGCGGAGAGGGAAAGCAAAAACAGAAGGAAGAGGAAAATGAGAAAAGAGACGGAATAAGAGGATAGTGAGGAGGAGGAGAGGGAAAGAAGATTAAGAAAATAGAAGAAGGGAAGACGAGATAAAATATAAAGGAAAAGAAGAGGGCAAGGAAGAAGGAAGAGAAGTAAGAAATGATAGAGTAAGAAAAGAGAATGGCCGGTCACGGTAGCCAAGCGGTCTAAGGCATGTACTGCCTTCGCTCGCTCGGAAACCGGGATCGTGGGTTCGAATCCCACTCAGAGCATGGATGTTTAGTTTGTGTGTGTGTGCGTTTTTCTTTGTTTGTGTACAGGTAGAGGCCTTGCGACGAGCTGATCACCCGCCCAAGGAGTCCTACCGAACGTGTAAGATCTAGAAAAACCGAAGTGAACGGAAAAGTTCAGGGAGGTAGGCCTAGGCCCACTGGGGCTGTAGTGCCAAGGAAAAAAAAATGAGTTAGAGCAGTAACTTTAGCCACATTCAAAAATCTGTCAAAAGTGAAATGTTCCTACGTAGTAACATTCATAAAATTATATGGCAAAATCATGACATAAAGAGAGATAACAGATGTTTTGAAAATGTGGCACAGTTCAGATATTTGGGAACAACAATAACAAATGAAAACCTGATTCAGGGCGAAATTAAGAGGAGATTGCGTTCGGGTAATGCTTACTACCATTCAGTCCAGAACCTTTTGTCTTCTCGTCTGCTGTCCAAAAACATAAAAATTGTAATATACAAAATTATAATTTTGCCTGTGTTTCTGTATGGGTGTGAAACTTGGTGTCTGATATTAAGGGAGAAACATGGACTGATGATGTTAGAGAACAGGGTGCTGAGGTGTATATCTGGACCAAAGCGAGATGAAGTGACGAGGTCTTGGAGGAAACTGCATAATGAGGATCTTCATTACTTTACTCTTCACCAATTATAATTAGAATGATCAAGTCAAGGAGGATGAGATGGGCAGAGCATATAGAATGCATGGGGAGAAGAGGAATGCGTATAGGATAATGGTGAGGAAGCCAGAAGGAAAGAGACCACTAGGATGACCTATACGTAGGTAAGTGGATAATATGAAGATGAGTCATAGAGAGATACAAAGGCGTGGTATGGACTGGATCGATCTGGCTCAGGTCAGGGACCAGTGGGTGGCTCTTTTGAACACGGTAATGAACCTTCTTGTTCCATGAAATTTTGTGAAATTCTTCAGTAGCTGTGCAATTAGCAGTTTCTCAAGTAGGGTTCGGCTCCATGGAGTTAATAAATATTTTTCAATCAAATGATTTGTAAATACTTTAACTCATACTTCCAATAGTCAGACCAATATCTGTTGCCCTTTAAAGTTTCGTTGCTAATATATCAGAGCTTTGAAATGTTTCTCACAGTTAAGACACTCCCCAGATGGCTCCTCCCTAGCCTTGGGTCAATTTGCTTTGAAGGTCGAAGTGTACAGAAGTAATATACAGATACTAACAGCATCTGGGCCTTATTGTACACTCTCTTCTGTTACGCTTCTCCTAGCAGCTTCAAACATGGTTTGCTGCTTTGTACCGGCCATTAATGTGTGGTCCATTTGGGAGTCCATCCCAATAGCATGACTGTCTATTAGTTAAGTAAATTAATTTTCCAAATATCTCCCAGCCGCACTGAAACACGACGACCTTAAACGCCAATCCAAAGCGAAGCTGATATTATCCCATAAAAAGACATCAAAGGGAACCCGTTAGCTAGCCTACGCGCCCTCAAAGAAACGTCCTGTGTGTTTAAGGAGATCCTCGGCATGGTGATTTCGGTTTTAGAGTGGAAGTACATTGCTAGCCAACGGCTCACCAAACACACATTCCCGTGGCAACGGATAAGCAGAGTAATACACGAACTCTTGGAGATGTTTCGCTTGGAAGTTAGTTCAGTTCAGGAGAGTTCAGTCGCAAGGGATTCTTCGTTCGTTATTCGTCACAGCGGAAGAGAAGACACTAGTTGTCCAGTAAGTAATGAAGCGAATCTTAGACAGTCACTGATTGTGAGCTGTAATAAGTGATTGTAATTGTGGAGAAGCGTCAGCAAATCTAATCATCTAATCAAGAACCCTTTATTATTAGTCACGCAAACCCTGCATACATAACAGTATTTTCGACTTGTTTTTGAACAAGGGATCTCAGTATGAAGAGCTTGTGCACGAATTTCATTTCCTGCTGTCTATATACAGGATTTCCAGGAGAAAAGTTTAATATTCTGGAAGGTAATGGTACAGATCTTTCTACGCAAAAACAAAAGTGCATATGTACGTGTCCTATTCCGAACGGTTTCCGAGAAGAGGCAATTCACTGTACAGTTCCAAAACTGTTGATAAGAAAGAGATATTACGTACTGTTTCTAATACCGGTATTTATTTTTCAAGCGACAAAGTTGGTACAGTTTACACAGCATAATATTTTTTTGAAAATTCTACCGTCAACATCAATGCACTTTGTAACTCGTGTGAGGACATAGGCGTGTTGCTCGTCTGTACAGTGTACAGTGTACCGTTCGGAATAGGGCACATGTACATATACACTTTATTTTGCTCAGATTTACGGACGCTATAACCTCCCACAATACCGACCTTTCTTTCTGGGACATTCTGTATTACATTGTGCTTACTTTACAGTTGGTCTTTGGAATGTGAAATAAGCACGCAAGTAAATATGGAACTGAAATGAATTAATCTCCTACAATTATTTCCTTCTTTCCTTACTTCATCTTGTCTTCCCCTTTTTTCTCCTCCTTCTCCTCCTCCTCTTCATTCTTCTTCTTTTTCTCGTCCTCCGCCGCTTCCTCCTCCTCTCTCTGCAATGTCCTGACTTCACATCACTGTGTGTGTTACGTAATGCTCCGTGACAATGGGCAGATGCTGCATCGGTGTGAACCAAACAGGCAGACTTGGACCCTTCTCTGCTTGTTGGACGTCCATTCCTCATCCCTGTGTGACGTCAGCACATTCCCCGCATCGCAATGAAGCTGACGTGAACCCCACAACCACAACTGGATGCAATGGAAATGGAGCGAACTGCTCAGCTGTCGGCAATATTGAACAAGGAAGAACCCGCCTCCTCCACTGGTTTAACTTGATATTGGAAATCAATTCCTTATAGTCCCTCGCCGTTATCACGACAGCTTAATGTGACATCTGACCAATATATTATTTCTGAATATAAATTGGAATCTTTACACACTCGAGGCATGAATCCGGCTTGGTGTGATCAAGTAGGACTAGTTTTTCTCTCTTTCTTCCCTACTCCTTGTTTCAATGTTGTTTGTATAAGCAAGTTAACATAAAACATATAAAATTGGACTTACGTTACAAAAATTAGTTCGTTAAGTATGTGTTTTAAATGACTACCTGCACGATGCCACTGTTAATGTGTCTCTTTAAGCGACAGAATAATAGCAACAAATGCAAGAATAGATGTTAGCTGTCAGAACTGTGGGGGAAAAAAAAAATACGAAAAGAGGTAAAGTAAAATTGAGAGTCACATAGGTAGAAACATAGAGATAGAAAGAAAGATAGATAGATAGACGGACGGATAGATAGATATATGGGCAAACGGACGGACAGACAGACTTATAGATAGATAGATAGGCAGGCAGAGATAGACAGACATACAGACAGACAGATAAATAGGCAGGCAGACGGACGGACGGACAGACAGACAGATAAATAGACAGATAGATAGACAGACAGACAGAGAGATAGATGGATGGATCATGAGATAGATACGTCGGCAGACAGATATTTTTCTGATAACAAATGTTCAACAACAAAGTAGAGAATACTGAGAACTGTAAATTTGGAAGTCTGCAGCTCGTGTCTGAGATACACTTCGTTGAACTTCATTGTAATCCTTAACAATAGTCTCTTTGTCGTCAGCTGTCGTGATTTTCATGAAAAATACTTTTTTGGAAGAGCTTCTTGAATCCTCTGTTTTGTGTACTTTCAATATTGGATGTTATGATTTCATTCTGAGCATCCGAGGAGCATTCCACAATAAACCGTAAGTAAATAAACTAA